TATTAACCCGTTGATATCCATCCCCTAAATTTGGTCATACAAAAGTATTCTACAAACATTAGAAATAAGGTCTATAATGTAATGTAATATTAGTGGAAAGCGGTCACCGGTGACCGCTTGGGGATTTGTTTTTTTTTAATTATTATTATGTAGGTAAATCTATGTCGTCATCTTTTGCGCCAGTTACGTTACGAGTCCATTGTAATAGGGGTGAGACTATTACTATACACTGTACACAATTCAATACTTCGTGCTAATACTGAAAAAAAAACGAAAAAAAACCCAATGATATCTGACTCAAGTTATCACATTATATTTTATCTCCTAATGTGATTGATTTTGTCTGAATCTACATTTTATTTATAAAACGAAACAATAGGCGACAATAAAACAAGAATTATCTTTAGATTTTAAAATATGTTAAGTGCATACCTAAGTACTTAAACATGATTATAGAGGTACATAATAAATATGTATGACCAGATTGGCGACATATTAAAGAAGGGCCAAATTAAAAGTACCCTTAACCGACGAGCATGCATGAAAAGGTTGATGACTGTTGATGAAGCGAAAGAGGTATGTAGGAATCGTGACAATTGGCGTTCCATATAGTTTTTTTTTCCGTATTAGCACGAAGTCTTAAATTGTGTACAGTGTAATAGACTCACCCCTATTACAATGGACTCGTCACGTAACTGGTGTAAAAGATGACGACATAGATTTATATAATAATAGTTAAAAAACAAAATACCTATTTCATGAACCCCAAAAATGACTTAAATCAAAATTATAAATACCTAGTCTGTGACTAAAACATTACGAATAACTAAAGGTAGTTATTTATGTCTTAGGGACGATTGTCTAAGACCTGTATATACTAATAATCACATTTTCAGTGGAAACGCAAAAAAATTAATACTGAAGAATTAATATTAATAAATCTCTCCATCTTAAATACGAACGACCTTCAAACGAGACAAAGCCAAACTTTGGCTTCTACTTTGTAAAAAGCAACATCTTATAAATAATTCTTATCCAATTAAAATCCGTACAAAACAAAATACAGTAAGAAAACATGGATTTCACACAAAAGCCGCGACGAGGCAGCGCCGGCGCACTGCTGTCAAACAAGACAAGTGTACAGTCAGCGACAGCGATAGGTAGCCCTTTGTTCTCGAACAATGCACAATCACAGACAACGTTTTTGTAACACACCTGATTACATCCCTGTCAGAATTAGGGCAAGACTGTTTTTATTTCCTTCATTTCAACGCTTCAATTTTTTTGCAATCATGAAATGCACTTGAAATTTAGTTTGTTTGGTCTAGAATTTATTTTTATTGGTAAAAGCTTTTAGCTCTTTGGTTTATGGTGATTCTAAGCACAAATTAACATAATGCTTGCCATGTCATAAGTGCTAGAAATAGCAACAAAAGCTCGCTTTGTTCTCGAAGAATGAGTCAAAAATTAATCATCTTTACTACAAACACTCCTGCCTAATTGGCCGATGAGCAAATATAACTGAACGTTTAACTCTAAAATACAGCAATACAAAGATTTTTTGTAAAGACCCGTTAATTGGCGTCGTCGCGTCCCCATTACGCAGCCTCCGAGCCACTGATACGCCTTTGCGCACACAGAATGCACATCTGGGAGCAGTGAAGGACTTGGAAATCTCGAAAAGAACTCATACATACGACAAACATTTCGAAAATAAACCCTATGGTGCAGAAAACAAAGTCGATTTCAAACAATTTCAGTCCCCGACACCCATTGCTGCGAACACCTGTTTCAACCACAGCGCTTATTCGGATTCGGTTTACAGAAAAACAACTTTATGAGATACAGGATAAAACTGCTTTTCAAATGTGGCGAGTTGAGCTTTGCATTCCTGTTTCGTAGGGATGTTCGCATAAATTATCGATGTTTCTCTCCGCGTGAGCGTCGAGGATATGTCTGTCCTTTTCTGTTGCTTGTTTTTGTTTCACCGCAGCTATGTAGAATGTGTGGACGTGAGACAAGTGCCGGCTCCGAGATCTGCCAGCCCTCATACATTTTTATGTTTGTACGTGTTGTTAATTACATACATTGTCGGATGTTTATTTTTAGCACAGATTTTTATGAATCGCTACGGAAGAGAAACTAATATTATTTAATTTTTTTCTGAATTATCTAAAATGTCAAACGTAGTTTTAAAATTTAATGAATGAATTAACCAGTTCGTCGTACGTAATTTGCTTAGAAATGAGTTACTGGTATTGGTCGGTTTGTTGAGTCAAATACCACTTGATCGACGCCGGGTCACGAGGCTAGTTCATAATACACGAGGTGTCGGCGGCCAGCCGGCGCCACGGCGGCAAACGCGGCGCCTACAATCCTGTCAGCCATATTACCATATCTACCAACTTAAAATAGACTCTACCGCTGTGCTTTCAAAGTTTAATATGACCAAGCTTTTGTAGCATCAGCTGTGATTTCCTCGCCATTTCAATTGTGACTCTAGCAACAACGAATAATGTTGATATTAGGTTGGATCCACATACGATATTGAATACGTTCCTCGCTTTTGAATTCTGAGCAACGACTAAAAGAAAGCAATTTTTTAAGGAAGTGTTTTGTGTTTAGTGTTACATTAATTTAGTTCTTATGTAATGACACCCACATGAAATGCTTGGAACACTCCTTGGTACTTAACAGTGGCATGATGGTATATTTGTCTTTTCTGGAGACCAAATGCTAAGAGCACCGTGACTAATATCTGTCACTTGAACAAATATGAGGTTTAAACACAAGTGCAGTACAGGCCATATAGAGGTCAGTTATATTTGGCGCCACTTGTGCGCCAGGTGGGTGCTAGTGCTCGCGGTATTTCATCGGTAAATCTTATTTAACAACGATCCGCGGCCAAAGTAAGGGCAAGTCAATTAAACTAACCTCGTTGATTGACAGGTCATTGAGTGAGACCACTTAATTTTTTTTCCTTTTTATCGTACGTCTGAACATGTTTTTTGTCCGAATACACGAGTTATATTATAGAGTGGATAATATTGATACTCAGAATTTGTATGATATATCTGTGTACTAGATGTGAAGGGCGTGAACTCAGGACAAACAACATTTCATTCAACATCACACTCGGAAGGTCCAAGTTTTTGAAAGACCTCATCAAACATCCAAAAAAATTAAGACGTTAAATAAAACGCGACGAGATTCACGCCTTTTCTTACGGTCATGGCTAGGTGTCAAAAGCTTTACCTGACCGCTAACACCTACACAGGCCAGCGGTATACTGGAACGATATTTTTACTATCTTAGCTGCATTATGTTTGTTCGGGAGTTATCCCTTCACACCTCCACACCGGAGCCGCTACTCAAATTATAATACAAACATCATGAGCCAAAGTTTTAGGAATGACACGTATTGTTAATTAGCTTGCGCTTTCGGGAAACGTGATCATAACAAAAAACAAATAAGACGGCAAAAATGAAAAGAGAATGTTCAGAGATTGTTTTCATGATTCGACGGTAATTGTGACGTTATGTTAAATGAGAGCAATTCAAATTTGAGGCTACGGACCAGTAAAGAAATGTTGAGACAATTATTTTCGATCCCTTATGACTTGAATTAATGTAGTAACCCCTGTTTGAGCCCATAAAAATTCACGACAAAACCTGTATAAACGGCTGGAGGCAAAACTTGGTTGTTTTGTGACTCGTTCCCAGAAATCGAGGAAACGTTCGAGCAAAAAGCCGACGGAACAGGATTTTGTATCGACATCGCCAAATCTGGACGCGTTAAGAAATGATAAAGAGGACGCCGCCACCGCAGCCGAGTGCAAACTGCATGGCAAACGAAAAAATCACAACAAGACCAAACGACGAGCACACACTTCCTTACAAGAAGACATTTTGATATATTATTAACATTTCGGGTGAGATGGCCGTCCAGGAGTTTTATATCCGAACATTACAATGATAGTAAAAAAAGTTACATCAGAGTGATAGAGCATAATTTCCTATGTTATCTTACCGGGCATCGTTACACAGTGATGACTTGCATAATATCTTCATCTGGCAAGACTTTGCCGATGATAAATATTGCGCTGTCTGCTGTGTCGGGCTATTTAGCATGCGACAGCTGGCTGGGAATAAAGAGACCAGTAATAGACCACGATTGCAATATCGATTATCCAATACGAATTTTGATAGGTGTCTTCAAAATGCGGTGTCTGTGCGCGGTGCGAATAAGTGTACGTAAATGATGCTATAATGCGTATGCGTGCGTGAGTCACGGATGTTCACATGTGCATGTGGAAATAGCCTGTAAGTTTGTACAAATGTTGAGATACACGGTCGTATAGTGCGGTGTTGTGTGGCGATCTTCACGACAAGTCGCCGCCGACGGCCAGGGAATGCGACCGGCTGGCGCAACAGTGCGTACCGACGTATCGATATTTAATTAATTTTCTTTCTCTACAATTATTATAACATCGATAAAGGCGTTAAGTTTATGTTTTTTCATATCTATTATGACAAATGGGTAGGCCTCGAATAATTAAAATAAAATAAATTAGTACATAATGACGTAAACGAGTAATGTTTTGATCAATAACCGAAAATTAATTTAATTATAAACCTATAAAACGCGTCATAGCTATTTCCTTTTATGGTTCGAAAATAGATTTAGTAGATTGAAATCATCAAATTATTCAGATTTATGTATACTGCGAATAATTGCATAAAAAATTGAATTTATAACCACATTTAGAATAATTATGTTGAGATAACGACACGTTTGCGCAATAACAGCGAGAGATATCCTTAGATTTAAAATTTTTAGAATATGGACGAGGTCCATTCGAAATATGTTTTTCCGTACGATAAAATGCTTGACATATCAAGCGGCGCGCATCTCTAAGGGCGAGACTGAGCTGGCGCCGTGCTTTTTTACCCCGGCTGACTCCGGCCAACTTTATACCACGCTTCGTTCGCCAGTCGAGCGCAACCAGTCCGACGGGAGGGATGTGCGCACCGTCGCATTCAAACACTTCCGAACGTGCGCGTTCGTAACAAAATGACAATAGTGCTTTAGTTTTTTTTTACTTGAAACAAAACTGTGTCTTATAAAGTGCCAATAAAAGTTGCCTTCAAGTGTTTTCAACCAATGAAAAGGATTGTTTTATTGAAGTTTTAATTGGATTTGACTTAAGGATATAGAGATGTCGAGTTTCACGACTACTGGAGATGCTACGCAGGCTGCTGCTAAAGGTTTGTTTATGGTTTTTGACAATTGCAATAAATTTGTCATGTTAAAAATTATCGATACTTGGGTTTATTAAGGTCAAACACTAGTTACATAAGTGTCCTTCGAGTTGATGCTGTAGCACTGTTTGTTGTAAACTTGTAATTGTATCACTTGTATAACCGTTTACCTTAATTTCTTAATGGGATTCTGGACTAAAATAACATTGACTTGTATAAAAATATTCACTTAACTTGCATAGGTTTTTTTTTAAAGGGATGCTTATGGTTTCAAAGAAGGTCAGAGATAGCAGTAATGCATACTTCATGGAGTTGATTTAATTATTTTTTTCAATTTTTTTTTAGATTGTTTTATATTGATTTAGATTATTGTTTTAACACTTGTCTAACGTTTATTAAAATCATTAACGTTGTTGTTGTTGAATAGAAGAAACCATTGAGGAAAACGTTGGGAAATTGTGAACATATTATTGGACTATATCTTTCAGGACATTGAATAGTTATTCATAAAAATATTCGTTCCTATCCTATCATTGAAGAAGGCATCAGTTCTGTATTTTACGGTACTCATGACATAAAATAAAACAACCACCACCCCTCTGAGATACTCATAAACATTTGCCTAGGAATAATTCCCATATACTGAACACAACAAAATTTAAAATAACGATCATGCAAATAAAATCACTGCACAGTGATTGGTGCAAATCTTAGCATCCTGGAAGCTTAAGCACCAATCGTATCAAAGTGTATCTTAGAAATCGTCATACACTTTTGCATAGCACGAATGACATAAGCGCACGATTTTAAATTGCTGTAAAAGGTAACAATCCGGAAGTTCAACTTCTAATAGAGTTGAATTGTCATAATGTGCCCGTACAAGGACTGTGACATTTGCACCAATGTCCTTATAATTTGGTTCAACGTTAATGTCTAAAAATTAGCAGTTTGTGTCCTTTTGTTATGATATTAGAGTTTGTTTTTCTTTGGTTTTGTCTTTTGCGGATATTTTGCTAATTGATCAAAATGGAATGTGAATGATGAAGTTGTGACGTTTGATTTGATTCGATGATTTTGTTTGGGAACTTGGGAAGTTTACGTTTCTATAGTTTTGGGGACAGATTTTGGCTAAATTTGAAATAATATTTAGGTATCCGTATTTATTTTAGTAAACTGTGATACAAATTATAATCTGTTGTCGTTTAGGGATTGACTTTGTCGATTTTTACAAATGTCGATAAAATATTTTAAGTTCATTATCGGATAAATTAATGATAAACGCGTCAAATTAAGAATGAAGGTTGTACCGATTGACAAAATTAAATTCATTATATTACTACCATTTAAGTACTTTATATCTTTCTACAACAAAAATCTCATAGTTAAATGTATCAATAAAACCTAATTATTAATATTCCTAACACAAAACAAACGGTTTCATCGCACAAAAAACATGCACATGTTAAGGGTGAAAACCCTAACAAGTGAATAACATTACAAACATAATAATTACCACCGTGTCCTTCAAATATAACTCTTATACCATTGAGATAAAAGTCTTGTTTTACATATGGCGTGATGCTATTAAGTTGGTATGTTTGTACACATGTTGCTTTACGGGGGTCGCAAGGTTTGGATGGAAGTTTTTTTAAATCCCAACCCTTACGACAAGTGTTATTGGTAGCATAATTTTACATTAGTTCTGTTTGGGTTCCAAATTATTTGTATCAATTACTGTTATTATTTGTAATGGTTGGAGATGAAGACAGAGTCGTAAAATTGGATGGGTCCATCGTTATTACACGGTCTAAATTTTAATATGTTTTATAATCTGGATATCCGTAAATTAGAACTAAAATAGTCTTTCTGTGGTACTGGTATCATCACCATCATCCCGCTAAAGACGTCCACTGCTAATCAAAAGCCTCACTCAAGTCTGCCAAAGCACGCGACATCTAATAAAGTCGCAAAAATCAACCTTAATTAGACAAGTATAGCGATGTAAATAGATTACTTAGCGAATTAGTATCTATGCGCTAGTGCACGTGTTACCCATAAAGAAAACATTTGCTTTTTAACGCAACTAATCATGACGTTGCTTTATAAATCCTTTAATTTGAAGAAGATAAAGCCTTTGAAAAATAATATGTGTTCATTAAAATACTTAATAATAGAGAAAATTGCGTTTTTGACGGTCCACAAAGCATAAAAATAAAAACTGATCTTTCTCTCAGCCACTGTGATAACATAGCAATCATTAAACAAATCAGGCCAACAACAATTCAACTTTACCCTAAAACACGCAACGTTAAATTAATCTGTACAATTTGAACGGTTCTATAAATCAACAGTAGCCAAGCTACCCTTTAGCTTGTAATCAATAGAGATACATATGTCACACAGACTACATCTGGCAATAGGGTGCCACATCTGGTCTCCAAACGCTGTGACGTCATTTGTCATGTGGCGATAAACAGTCCCTTTATTGCCCGATTGTACTTTTTTATTTGTCCGACCATTTCGTTATGATATTTGACACGTTGGACGAATTCGATACAGTTTTTTGTGGTGATGTAATTTTTTCAAGTATAGGTAATGTTTCAGATTAGGATGATACTGTTTCATTAAGGTAGCAGAAAGGCTTAGAAAGAAAAAACAGAAGAGTCTAACGCTGTACAAAATTCTCCGAAATGTTGTTCAATAAGCAAGTAAACACAGCATTCTGAACTAGACTATAACCATTAATAAAGATAAGATATATTTTCAATTGAAAAGTCACGACGAATTGCAGGAATTCGTCGCCAAATCCATTATCTGGTTATGAATGATGAAATTTTCCAGGTGGTTTGTCATTCATTAAATTATCGGAACAACTATACTATCGAAAAAGGTAATTAATCGCGTGATAATAATATGAATTACAAGAATCGGCCAGCTGCGATTATTTGAAAAATCAATACTTTTTGTACCTAACGATAAATCGTAATCAGTAGGTATCGGTAACACACGTATCGATTAAAACGATTCACGTAAAGATTATCTGATTAACGAGGATTGTCTAATTGTACTTTGTACTTCATGTATCACTGTAGGTGCGTTTAGTATGCCTACATTATGTATATTTTTATTAGCTTTTCAAATATGTCTTTACCCGCATGTCGAAAACCAAAAACCACAATTCCTTACTGATGGTATGTTGCATCTTTTATGTGGAAGAAATACTGAGTTATAAACCAGAATTACGACATCTTTTTCCATAGCTATATTTCATAAAGAAAGAAGTCTATGCAGCTCTTCGAGCCTCTAACTGGCTCCACTATAGTAGAATCCGTCTCACTACGTACATTTTTTTAATTTAGTGTGGACAAACTTTATTATTAATCAAACACCAACTGCAAACAAAAAATATTTATTTCAACACTTCGAAAACTACTCGAAAGATTTCGATGCGGTTTTTGTCATATAAACAGACTCTTTGGTGGAATCGCTATAAGTGTTGGTAATAAAAAATTGTGGTGGTGCAAATCCGGGCTCAGTTTCTAAGCTAAAAATAACCTATCATAAAATGTGTCTACTGAAAACAATGACGAGAGCTCTGCTAATGTAAAAGCATTACACTTTTTGTTCCTCGGAGTTAGGTACACAGATGTGCACTGCACATGTTAGAAGTAAGTAATCCTTCTAACCTTCAAGAATAGAGCGTATTCCTTTTTAACTCGTCGAGTACCGGTTTTGTAGACACAATTATAGAACAATAGGTTGCGGTCACCGGTGACCGCTTGGTGTTTGACAGTTTAAAAGGACGGCAACGCACCTGTGACTCCTCTGGTGTTGCGGGTGTCCATGGGCAGCGCTAATCGCTTACCATCAGGTGATCTGTCTGCTCGTATTCCATAAAAAAAGTATCGCCTACTTTTCACGAGTCACATTTATATCCGTACCTCTTAACTAAAAGTTACTTAGCGTGACGTAGCACCTAAATCAACCCCTTACTTATACTGTTAGGTGTCAATTATAAATTGGTGAAAACCAAAACGTCTGTGAATGTCACCTATCTTAGCTTAAGGGGTTCCTTGAAATTTAGGAGAGGTTATAAGAGGGCATAAGAGTAAGTACCTAACTAGGGTAGAACCTATTGCCAACTTCAAGTATTGTTCCAGATTCGACATTAGCGCCGAAAGCTTGGGAATTCGTCTTCAAAATATTTGGTTCGATCATTCAACTGAAATACAGGCAACGCCTAGTTCAGGAGATAAAGCTTGATGTATTTAGATGTTTGGTAGGTATATGAAAAAAGAATTATTATTATTAAAAAAAAACTAAAGTAGCTAAAATATTCTTATTGTGTTGGTTCTAGCTAGAGACAATAGAACACCAAACGACACGATTATAGCATACCTCGATACTAATATACTTATCAGCTTTATGATATCATGGCGATCGGCTGATGGGATGATAATATGTAGTACTATCTGAGCTGAATGTACTGGTTACCATGTTCCGAGTGCTCAAGTACTCTAGTTTGTTTATCGTCTCGATAAGATTGCTTTATTTTAGCTTAGGTACAATATCGAAATACAATTGTCGATCGTTTTTTCCCTAAGTTTCGGGCATGTTCTTCAATTTGTTTATTACAAGTATAATCGATACTGACACGAACGTAATCGATACGTACCTACTCTAAATCTATTAATGTTCTCAGCATTAAAGTCTACGTGCTGTTCCTTAGGGCTTAGCAAATAATCAGCTACATTTCTCCTTTTCTCAACGTTATCACCTGGTTCATTGATTTTATATCAAGTTCTGTTATTGCATTTACGAGTTTATAATTTTATTGCTTATAACTGGTCCTACCAACATCAGCAATAGCAGCTCTTCGACCGTTTCCTATACCAAGCTAGTTCTATTTTTAAAAAGGTAGCAGAAACCAGAATTCTTTAGCTAATGCCTGGCACATCACTAAAAAGGTAGACTTAACATTGGAATTTCTGAACAGAAAATACAAG